CACATCAAACGGGTTCCGTCTCCCGCTCTGCCACCCGATCCGGACCCGTGTGCCTGCGCCAGAGCCTCTCCCGGCCCGCGGCACCATTTGCCCACCCCGTTTCTGTTACCTTATATCTCCCCCTCCTCCATGAAACCCCAGCAAAACCATAACATTAAAAAGCACGGCTTGGCATCTGTCCCATTTTTGTTTTAGCAGTTTCAGTGGTAAATTAAATCCACTCTGGCACAGACAGCCAGCACAGCTGTTTCAGCAAAGGAAACATCCTCAGTTCAGAGAAGAGGAAATTATGACAAATTTGTGTAAAATTAAAACATGTAATATGTGTATGTGTACATGTATAAAATAAAAAGCTGTCTGGCCAAAAGCTGCTCCCTTGAATAAAATGGTGGGACTGTTTCCCCGGGACCATGCTCGGGCACTGACGGGCAGTTGCAGCAACACATCAAAGCGGAGGTGCTCGCTTCTTCCCAAAAAACTATTTCTGGATGCTGGTGGCAGCAGGCTAGATTATCTCAGGGCTGGTTGACTGCGTTCCTGGGCCCTGATTTATGCCTGTGGTATTCCTCACAGGAAGCAAGTTTTTCCCCACGGCACAGCCCTGGTCCTCTTGCCGGGGTTCACACGGGGTGACCCAACAGAGCAGGGCTGTTGCCACAAGAGGCGGCTCTCCCATGTCGTGTCCCTCCCTGATGGTGGAGATGAACATCTGCTGCAGATCCTGCATCAACAGAACCGCTATAAAACCAAACCGCCATCCGATATCCAGCAAAATGATGCTACAACAGCCCAGAAACCATCTCACGGACTCCTCTTGCCCGTAACTGGGAAGTGGGGGGTACAGGGGGATGTTGGTCGGGGAGGGAGAGCCCACACAGCACCAGGCGCTGTGCTTGGAGGCAAAGCGAGAGCCCCAAGGCAAGCAGCCGGAGGGAGAAGGTGCATCCCGGAGCGCTGCTCTGCCCGCAGCCACCCTGTCACAAAGAAAGGTGTTGCTTGGATCTGACTCACTGAAACTCCCTCCGAGAGCAGTGTGGCTAGGTCGTATCTGATTAAATACAAATCAGCTTGAAACAGGATTAACAATAACAAAATAAGTGAGCCTGAAGAGGTTTTGAAACGAACCGAGAAGCTGATACAACCCCGTTTTCTAATCTCTGACAACTCTTCCGAGCCAGCAACTCACGCCCGTATAAACCACCGACACTCAGCTGACGTTTCTGAGCAGAGCAGAGGCTTTCCAGGACCTCGTGCGGAGAGGCGAGATGCAAATCGCCAGCTTGATTTTCATTCCCAGGCTCTCACTCCTAGCAGCTTCGCCAGTAAACGAAACAAAAAAATCTCAATGTATTTTATCATTACCTGGTTTAGTCCTGGCATCCCTGTGTCTCTTCCGAACGTGGAGTACGAGGCTCTTTCACTGCTCTTCCCTACAGTGGAGAAAAGAAAAGACAAGATTTTGTGTAAGAAGGAAGGGGAGGTTTTGCATGCACCCCCAGGCATCCATCCGGGGCGTCCCGCCGAGGTGCGAAGCCTGCTCTCGTAACGCAGCTTCCTCCACCCGCCTGGAGAGGTGACTGCCTCCCGTAATAGCTTGTTGCTAAAATAGGAGCTCTTTTAAGTTCACAGACAGCAGGGTTTGGCTGGTCCATAAACAGCAAAACCCCAAAACTGCAGTGATGCAAGGAATTGCTTGTGGCCATGGAAACTGGCAGTGTCAAACCAGAGCGAAGCCTGCTCTCGTAACGCAGCTTCCTCCACCCGCCTGGAGAGGTGACTGCCTCCCGTAATAGCTTGTTGCTAAAATAGGAGCTCTTTTAAGTTCACAGACAGCAGGGTTTGGCTGGTCCATAAACAGCAAAACCCCAAAACTGCAGTGATGCAAGGAATTGCTTGTGGCCATGGAAACTGGCAGTGTCAAACCAGAGCCAAAAAAAAAAAAAAATGTCCCTCCAAACATATTAAAAAAGGTCAGCCGAATTTGGCAGAGGCAGTGACAGAGCAAACCGACAGCCAGGCATGAGTGACCAGACTCTGCGGGTGCTTTCCATACAAACGGAAACACAATTCCAGCACACGCTGAGCAGCAGCGTGTGGAGCTGAGCTCCTGCTCTGTACGGCGCAGGGATTACCTTCTTTCTCCTTTCCCGGTGGAGATTCAGCTTTCCAAAAAACCCATCCAGATCTAAAGAGCAGGTATTCAGTAGAAAGGCATTTCCTTCCTTTCCAAACCCCCTCCGTTAGGTCCCACCGGGCAGGTTCCTCCTGGACCACGGGGCTCCTCGCCGGAGCATCCCTGCCAACGCGGATGCTGCGCAGGAACAGCCCCGTGCGAGCTGAGCCCACGTGTCCCAGCGCTGCCACGTGAACTTTAGCACCCAGCAACGGCTTTTATCAAATATGTTCAACCTCACCCTGCCCACATGCTGCTGAAAATAGTGTTTTCAAGGAGGGGAAAGAAAAAAAAAAGAGAAACCCAACACACATGGTGAAATGTTTCCATTCTGAAATGTCCTTGCAGTCTCTTTCCTTGCAGTCACCACCCCGGGGAACACCGCAGCCCCAGGGCAAGTAGCACCCATGGGTGCCAGGGCAGTGTTGCAACCCTGGGGAAGGACCCCATACCAGGGAGAAAGGGAATAGTTCTACGCTGTGCCCGGGACAGCCAGAAGCACAATGGTCTGCTTTGGGGTTTCCTCCCCACCCAAAGCAAAACTAGACATTTTTCTAGTGGGTAACAGGCACTTTGTCATTAAAAAAAAAAAATAATATATATGAGGAATTTTTCCCTGTGTTCATTACAGCCTATTAACGGTGCCACCAGGGAAAAGGGGGAGGGAAGAAGGAAATGGGAGATGATGATCAAAAAGGCTTTGAACCCAGGGCAGGACGGCCCTGCCCCGGCAGCTGCCCCACACCGGCACAGGGGACTCTGCCTG